AAAAAAGGGAATTTTGGGGTAAAAAAAGGGAATTTTGGGGCTCCCGGGGCGGATTTTAGGGGTCCCGGAGGGGGGTTGGGGGGTGAAAAAAGGGAATTTTGGGGTAAGAAAGGGAAATTAGGGATAAAAAAGGGGAATTTGGGGTAGAAAAGGGGAATTTTGGGGTAAGAAAGGGAAATTTGGGGTAGAAAAGGGGAATTTGGGTTAGAAAAGGGGAATTTTGGGGTAGAAAAGGAATTTAGGGATAAAAAAGGGGAATTTGGGGTAGAAAAGGGGAATTTTGGGGTGAAAAAAGGGAATTTGGGGTCGCGGTCGCGGGGGCCGCCCCCGAGATGGCGGCGGAGGAAGGGACGGGGCCAGGAGCGGAATGGGCGGGGCCAAGGGGGAACCAACCAATGGCGGCGCGGCTTTGCGTGGGGGCGTGGCCAGGAGAGGGCGGGGTTTATGCAAAACGCGGCGGATTCCGCGGCTCCCATTGGTCAGCGGGCGGGGTGGGCGTGGCTAAAGGGGAGGGAGAGTGGGCGTGGCTTCCGCGGGAGGGGCATGGCCCCGCGGGTTTCATTGGTCGGTGGGCGGGGTGGCGCCGGAAGTGGGCGGGGCCAGAGGCGGAAGCGGAAGCGGGGGCGCGGCCATGGAGGAGGCGGCGGGAGGGAGGGTGAGGCCGCCCCTCCCCCACCCCACGAAAAAACCCCAAATTCCCCCAAAATATCCCCAAAATTCCACAAAATTCCACCAAAATATCCCCAAAATTCCACCAAATTCCCAAAAATATCCCCAAAATCCCCCCAAATCCCCCAAAATATCCCCAAAATATCCCCAAAATTCCCCCAAATTCCACCAAATTCCCAAAAATATCCCCAAAATTCCCCAAAATATCCCCAAAATTCCCCAAATTCTCCCCAAAATTCCCAAAAATATCCCCAAAATTCCACCAAATTCCCAAAAATATCCCCAAATTCTCCCCAAAATTCCCAAAAATATCCCCAAAATTCCACAAAATCCCCCAAAATATCCCCAAAATTCCCCAAAAATCCCCCAAAATATCCCCAAAATTCCACCAAATTCCGAAAAATCTTCCCAAAATTCCCCAAAGTCTTCCCAAAATCCCCCAAAATATCCCCAAAATTCCACCAAATCCCCCAAATCTTCCCCAAATTCCCAAAAATCTTCCCCAAAGTCCCCAAAATCTTCCCAAAGTTCCCCAAAATATCCCCAAAATCTACCCAAATATCCACAAAATTCCACAGAATTCCCAACATCTCCCCAAAATTCCACAAAATCCCCGAAAATTCCCCCAAATCTCCCCAAAATCCCCCAAACTCTCCCAAAAATCCCCCAAAATTCCAAAATTCCACAAAATCCCTGAAAATTCCCCCAAATCCCCAAAAATTCCACCAAATCTCCCCAAAATCTCCCCAAAATTCCCAAAATCCCTGAAAGTTCCCCAAAATCTCCCCAAAATTCCTCAAAACTCCCAAAGTTTCCCCCAAATCCCCGAAAATCACCCAAAAATCCCCCATAATCCCCGAAATTCGCCAAAAACTCCTACAAATTCCCCCAAACCCCTGGAAATTCCCAGAATTCCCAAAAATTCCTCCAAAAATATGCAAAAAAACCCTAAAATTCCCAAAAATCCCCCAAAATTCGCCAAAAATCCCCAAAATTTTCCAAAATCACCAAAAATCCCCCCCAAACTCCAAAATCACCAAAAATTACCCAAATTTCCCCAAATCCTTTCAAAAATCCCCCCAAATGCCCCAAAATTCCCCAAAATTCCCGTGATCCCACCCAAAATTCCCCAAATTCCCCAAAATTCCCCAAAATCCCCCAAAATTCCTCAAAAATCCCTCCTAAATCCCCCAAATTCCTCAAAAACCTCCAAAGTTCCCCCCAAATTTCCCCAAATCCCTCCAAAATTCCCCAAAATCCCCCAAAAATCCCTTCAATCCCCTCCAGACCCCCCAAATCCCCCAAATTCTCCAAAATCCCCAAAAACGTCTCCAAAATCCTCCCAAAATTCCCCGAATCCGCCCAAAATTTTCCGAAATGCCCCCAAAAGTCTCCAAAATGCCCCAAAATTACCCCAAAAATCCCTCAAATCCCCTCCTGACCTCCAAAAATCCCCAAAATTCCCCAATGACCTCTGGATGACCCCTGGGTGACCCCTATGACCTCTGGATGACCCCTGGGTGACCTCAGTGACCCCTGGGTGACCCCTGGCTGATCTCAATTACCCCAATGACCCCTGGGTGACCCCTGTGACCCCATGGTGACCCCTGGCTGACCCCAATGACCCCAATGACCCCCGGCTGACCCCTGGCTGACCCCAATGACCCCATGGTGACCCCAATGACCCCAGTGACCCCTGTTTGACCCCGGCTGACCCCATGGTGACCCCAATTACCCCATGGTGACCCCAATGACCCCAATGACCCCATGGTGACCCCATGGTGACCCCAATGACCCCATGGTGACCCCAATGACCCCCGGCTGACCCCTGGCTGACCCCAATGACCCCATGGTGACCCCAATGACCCCAATGACCCCATGGTGACCCCAGTGACCCCATGGTGACCCCATGGTGACCCCAATGACCCCAGTGACCCCATGGTGACCCCATGGTGACCCCAATGACCCCAATGACCCCAATGAAATGACCCCATGGTGACCCCAATGACCCCATGGTGACCCCAGTGACCCCATGGTGACCCCTGGCTGACCCAAATGACCCCATGGTGACCCCAATGACCCCAATGACCCCCAGCTGACCCCAATGACCCCAATGACCCCATGGTGACCCCATGGTGACCCCAGTGACCCCAATGACCCCATGGTGACCCCTGGCTGACCCCAATGACCCCAATGACCCCTGGCTGACCCCTGGCTGACCCCAATGACCCCCGGCTGACCCCAATGATCCCAATGACCCCATGGTGACCCCAATGACCACAATGACCCCCGGCTGACCCCTTGCTGACCCCAATGACCCCAGTGACCCCAGTGACCCCATGGTGACCCCAATGACCCCATGGTGACCCCTGGCTGACCCCAATGACCCCATGGTGACCCCAATGACCCCAATGACCCCCAGCTGACCCCAATGACCCCAATGACCCCATGGTGACCCCATGGTGACCCCAATGACCCCA